ATAAACAATTGTCTTGTAAATGGAATTTTTAAAGCATTCTGAATGTAAAAATAAAGAAAAAAGTGTGCAAGACAATAAGAAACACTACGTGTAAAAAAAAGTGAAGTTTTGTTGAAATCGATTGAAAAATGTAGGAAATCCGATCCAATATATAAACGAACACACACACACACACACACACACACACACACACACACACACACACACACACACACAAGCAACCTAGGTTTTAAGTATAACTCGATATAAGTTGGCCCCTCTCATTCTCGCGACAGCGATGCTTCTTAATCGTTTTTCAAATTGATTTCGTGCAAAAACAATTGTGTTTTTCCAATTTTTGGCGCTGTCAGAACCACCGCAAGTTAATTTTACGTAGTCCTGTGAAGTTTTGTTGAAATCGGTTGAAAAATGTAGGAAATCCGATCCAATATATAAACGAACAGACACACACACACAACCTGGGTTTTATAATAAGTATGATCTATTACTGTTTCACTGAAAATGTTCTAACGTGCTACATTCCCTAGTTCCACCAGTTCAGACCTTCACAACCAAGACCCGCTCTACAATGTAGGTGGTTTTCCATTGAAAAGAAGGAAGTTCTATTCGAGCAGATTTTTTTCCCAAGAGCCGCTGCTTTGTGGAACAGACATCCGAGAGATTGCTTCTTCGACCTCTTCAATTTTAACCACTTCAATTCTAGGACCAACCATTATCTATCTTAGATATCCTCTGTTGGTTTCAATCATTGGGAATGATTGCAAATTTATAAGCAAAACGCACAAATGCATGCTGGGATTTTTCGTAACCAGTAAGATTAAGCCACTTCTCGGTCTCATCCGACTTAGTTCTGTTCTTTCTTGTCTTGAAGGCAGAACGTTGCGATCGCTTGTCGGTATCCCCTTTTTTGAACATTTTTGCCTTATCACTGTCGCTTTGCCTTATTACTGTCTCTTTGCCTTGCATATATTGTTTGTTTGCTTAATATTATTTTGAACTGTTCTTTCCTTTCCTTTCATTTCTGCTATTCTTCATTGTCAGATTTGTTGAGCATTTCTGCCAATTAAATTTAACCACGGCCTCATAATTTAAAATCCTTAAATCCATCAAACAACCCCTTTCAGTCACCTTAAATCCATCAAACAACCCCTTTCAGTCACCTTCCAAATTCAGTGGTTCTTGGGCCTTGTATTGAATGAAAAATACCATAATTGACCCCCCACCCCCGACACACCCACCAACCCTACTCTATCTTTACAAGGGCAAGATCAAATCAAAGACTGAGTATTGCTGCCATATCTGGACAGGAGCTGCCCAGTGAGCACTTGCTTGCCTTGATAGAGTTCAAAAGCGTCCACGCGGCATTGTGGGTGATGACTTATTTCTCCCACTACACCTCCTTCCCCAAAGACGAAACGTCGCGAGCATCTTTCTGCTTCTATGGCATGTGTTCTGACGTGCTAGTTTCCTTGGTCCGCCCGTCCGTGACCTTTACAACTGGGACCACGATTCCATATACAGAAGGTAGTGGCTTGTGGCAGATCCAGAACTGACGCCCCCTGATTGATGCCTCTTGTGCTCACATGATTGGTCGGTCTTCTCTGACCAAGGCATCCACTCTTTAGATATGTTTTTCACTGTGCGATGTT